TTTCTTTGCAACAGAAAAAACAAATTCTAAATTTCATATGGAACCACAAAACCCCCTGAATATCCAAAGCTATCATGAGTAAAAAGAACAAAGAGCATGGTCCTAACATACAAATAGACTCATCGACCGATGGAACAGAATTGGGAGCTCAGAAATGAACCACACATGTAGACTCAACTGATTTTTGACAAAGACGCCAAGAATACACAATGAGAAAGAGAGAATCTTCAGTAAGTGGTGTTGGGAAAACTATTTATATGCAGAAGAACAAAACTTCTTCTGTATGCTTATCTCACACCATATGCAGAAATCAGCTCAAAATGGACTAAAGAGTTAAACTTATTTGAAACTGAAAAATTACTAGAAGAAAAGATAGGGGAAAAACTACATGACACTGATCTGGGCAATAATTTTTTAGATTTGATCCCCCAAATTGTAGGCAACAAAGGCAAAATCAGACATATGGGGTTACATCAAAATAAAAAGCTTCTGCAGAACAAATTAAACAACAGAGTGCAGAGGCAACCTATGAATTGGGAGAAAATATTGTAAGCCATACATCTGATCAGGGATTAATATCAGAAATAGATAAGATATGTATAAAGAACTCAAATAACTCTATAGAAAGAAAACCAATAATTCAATTTAAAAATGGGTGACTTGGCCGGGCGCAGTGGCTCATGCCTATAATTCCAACACTTTGGGAGGCCGAGGCAGGTGGATCATGAGGTCAGGAGATTGAGACTATTCTGGATAACATGGTGAAACCCCATCTCTACTAAAAAATACAAAAAATTAGCCGGGTGTGGTGGCAGGCACCTGTAAGTCCCAGCTACTCAGGAGGCTGAGGCAGGAGAATAGCGTGAACCTGGGAGATGGAGCTTGCAGTGAGCTACTCAGGAGGCTGAGGCAGGAGAATAGCGTGAACCTGGGAGATGGAGCTTGCAGTGAGCCGAGATCGCGCCACTGCACCCCAGCCTGGGCAACCAAGCGAGACTCTGTCTCAAAAAAAAAAAAAAAAAAAGGGTAACCTGATAGACATTTCTCTTAAGAAGACATACAAATGCTCACATTATTCTTTAAGACTAAATGTTATGAAATGTTCTTTCTTCTACCCACCTTTGAATGTCCAAATTCTGCCCATCCTTTGAGATTTAACTTTCATGTCACCTGCTCTGTAATGCTTTTCTCAATCTACTTATTAAATCCTCTCCTACTCCTTTGAATTCACACAGTGTTTCTTCCAATTCCTGCTTAGAGGACTTGATATTTCAGTCTCTGCTCTTTGGGTAGAAAGCCAGCCTCCACTGTTTAAATGTAAGCTCCCCAAAGCAGAGCCCCATTCTCAGTTCACCATGGCATTGCCTACAACGTGCACCCTGGGCCTTTCTATGCACACAGCAGGGACTCAACAAATTCTCATGGAGCAGGAGATAAGGGTCTGGAACCTCCAGGCTACAGCTTTGGCTTTCATTTCACCTTTTAGAATGCCAATGGCATCATCTGTGATGAGTGGGTTCTGTTGGCATCTCAAAGAGTTAAAGGAGGTGGTGAGTCATCAGGGCTCTCAGAACACTGACTGGTTCCAGGTGACTATTTAGAACAGGCAGTCAGAAAACTAAAACAGAAAGAAATTTTTAAAAAACGCCAACCCTTAAACTCCTCCTATTTTAAAGCGAACAATACAACTCTTTGCAAACTATGGAGCCGAACAATCCCTCTCATTATTTCAATGAAACCAAAACAGACATTTAAACTCCAAAACAACAACAAAAAGCCCCAGAGCCCCTAACCTTCCTTGGCCATGTCAGGTTGCTTGCGCAATGACTGGAGGGCTCTCTAGGGACCCATGAATTCGGTTTCATTTTCTAATTTGAAGGGGGTTATTTTCAGCATAAAGCGGTAAAGCGGAGGTGAATGGGAGATGGGAGAGGGTTGTCAAAGGGGAGACAGTTTCACAACAGTTTCAGAGATGGTCAGATTTACTTACTTTCTGCATTAGAGGCAGCCCTGAGGACAGTTAATAGAAACCATTAACACTGACATAAGGCAGAAATACTTTCAAAACAACATACTTATTAATTTTTTTATATTTGGTTTAGTTTATACAAGCTTCTTATATATAAAACAATGGAATAATAAAGACTGATCAGCTCCTAGAATCTTAAATATTGTAATGAACTACCCCATTACCTGTTGCTTTGCCGCCTTATTCATCCACAACAATTTTCATCCTATGTGTAGTTTTGCCAAAAAAAAAAAAAAATTCCCCAATCGTCCCTCCCCCAAATGGTGAGATCATTATCATTCCATTTGTAAGCCTACCTCTGTTTAAAGTTATTGGTAGAACTATATCCAAAGACAGCGAAAACAACTCAAAAACCCTTTCAAATAGAAGGCTCTTCTCCAAAACTTTAACCTCATTTGTATTAGGATTTTACAAAAAATTTCCATTCTTTTTTCAGTGATTTTCTATTCGAGTAAACTTTATTCATTCTCCAAACAAAACTCTAGTCTGTCTCAATAGCAATATCAAGGGAGGAAAAGAGTTACTGAAAGTCTTGACTATAATTATAAGGAAGGAGAGTGATTATAAGATGCTGTGGGGAAGAAGAATTATGAGAAGGGAGATGGTGTGGGCAAGAAGACATAGAAATAGAAAAGGCCTGGCACACAACAAGGGGCTGGGCAGTGATATCTGAGACCATTTATGCGTGGGTACAATAGTGTGTGTCTTTGGAAAAGGCCAGTAAACAGTGGTCCCCTTCTATCATAAGCCATGAGGTTCTAACATGAGTACCTATTTTATTTCAGCAGAGATGCCAATCCCATGCTCTCTATAACCAACAATGTCAATTGGGGAAATTGTGGGGCCAGGGAAGGCACTCACTGTTCCTTGTCTCCATGAAAAGCCTCACCAGCCACCCAGACACCTGGGGGCCAATCCTCACCCTTAACCCCCAACATCCAATCTGCCACGGGTCCCTGTCCACTCGACCTCATAAACGCTTCTGATGCCCCTGCCTCTCTCTTATCATCTTTGTCCTTTGGCCTGGACTGCTGCCATAGCCTCCTAACTGGTCATGCAGTCTTAGCGTCCTCTGCAGTCCTTTCTGCCCATGTCAATCAACCTGTTTTCCCAGCCTTTCACTCCCCAGATCCTAACCACACCTGGCTTTTGTACTTCCTAAAATGCTCCTTTCCACCACAATGGCCTGGAAAGCTATCCATGCCATTGATTCTCTCTGCTTGCAATATTCCTTCTAGCCACATTTCTACCTTCACCCCACTTTTGGGATTTTTCTGGTCTTAACTGGAGGTTGGGTTCCTGGTATGTGCTTTCTCGGTAACACAGATGTGTATTTCTGTAATCGGTTGTTCAGTGGCTCTCTTCCCTGTCAATCTGTACATACTGAGGTCAGAGGTTGTATTTGTCCATGTATGTTTTCCTCTGTAATATGGAATAAAACAAGAACTTATAGGATAAAGATTAAATGAGTTAATCCAGGAAGAGAACTTAGAATAGTACCTGATGTATATAAGGACTCTGTAAGCTGTGGCCATAATAATACTAATTAGCACTATGCCTAAAACAAAGGATGTGCTCTATAAATGTTTGTTGAATGAAAGAGGAATGAATAAATGAATAAATCATTGAATTCAGCAATCCAGATGGCCCCCTTTTCCCAACCAGCAAAGATGTATAGAAAACTATCACAGGGAGGAATTATGGATCTTCATTGTCTACTGCCATCATGATAAACGGTAAAAACAGCATGCTTGGTGTCCTGGGATTTCTAGTTCATTCTATTGTGTTGCTGAAAAAATATTCAAAGCAAGGAGATATGGAATTAAGAGATAAAGATTTGTAATGTTACAAAATATATTTCTATGCTTCTCAATCTTGTCTTAACTAAAATATGTGCTTCTTAGTGAGCACCATACTGCTTAATTATTCCCAGGCTGAATCCTTCAGAAAACCATGCGTGTCAGGTAGTCCATTCCAACACATGTTTATCCAAAAAATTTCAACTTATGTTGCCAAAGAGGGAAGGGCTTTACCCATTTGTTCTAGGACATTCCATAGGTCTGGTTCCTCAATGTCTTTAAGGGAAAGGCATCAGTCACCTGAGTGCACATCATGCTCTGCTGGCCTAATAGAAACATATGCGAATGAACTTGGGCTCCCAGCACAGTCTGTAGCAGCAGGACACTGACACACCTTTCAAAAGCTGGAAACAGGAAAGGTGCCTCTGAGTTGGCCCAACCCTGCCAAATGCTATTATCTGACAAAGTTTTATTAATTTATTGTCACTTAAGGATGTGGTAATATTATTATTATCATTATTATTTTTGAGACAGAGCCTCACTCTGTCGCCCAGGCAGGAGTGCAGTGGCCTGATCTCGGCTCACTGCAACCTCCACTTCCTGGGTTCACGCCATTCTCCTGCCTCAGCCTCCTGAATAGCTGGGTCTACAGGCACACGCCACCATGCCTGGTTAATTTTTGTATTTTTTAGTAGAGATGGGGTTTCACCATATTGGCCAGGCTGGTGTTGAACTTCTGACCTCGTGATCTGCCTGCCTTGGCCTCCCAAAATGTTGGGATTACAGGCGTGAGCCACCGTGCCCAGCCCGGTAATATTTTTAGATAGTTTTCCTGCACATAGTTCATCTGAATTTAGAAATAAACACTGCATTGTCATCATATCAGCAATATCGGATCTTATTTGTTCCCTTTCTCTAAAGTTAACTTTTTTACGGTTACCCTGAACCCATCTATTCTACCACTGAATTCTGTGAAAATTCATACTTGGTTCTTCTCGGTTCAGTCATCAGTTTGGGAAACTGGTATTTCATTTAAGACAATTGATAGTTATAAAAAATAACTCTAACAAATAAATTGTGTGAGCCTTTGTCCCGATACATTTAAAACTAAAGGGTGCTACATGGAAATCCATTACAGACAATGAGAAATATTGGAAATTTAGTCAACTGACCTGTTTTCTTGTGGAGCAAACTGGATCTGTTCCCCAAAATGCTGAAGTCCTGGGCCTGTGAGGGAGCTGAGGATAGTCGCATCCTTTGACCTTCTTCTGGGTTTCCCGGGGGGAAGGGTGGGCTCTGGGAGTGTCTGAATTCACGTCTATCCATGCCAGCCAAGTGGAGGGCCTCCTGAGCTTTCTTCTTTTCTTTTTTTAACATGTTGACCAGGATATCTGAAACTTGACTTAAGGATTGAATGACTGATGCTAGCTTATAGTAATCAAAACACAAATGTCCTAAGTGTCATTAATGTTCCTAACATTTGCTATTTATCATGTGGTAAAGACTGACTGAAGGAAGGCTTCAACTTTCTGAAGCCCCATATATAGTTATGGACAATTTAGGGGACATTCTTTCAATATAGCACCATTATATGAAAAATTAGCAAACCCAAGGTCTTTAAAATGTTCTGAGTGTAAACCAGGTACGTCTTCACAATCTCATGAAAGCACTTACAAAAAGTCAAATGAAGGCTGAATAGTAGTAGACAATAGGCTATGTATACATCTTCAAGGCTGAATAGTAGTAGATAATAGGCTATATATACATCTTCCCAGATAAAAGATGAATTTACTTACATAGCCTATGTATACGTATCAGCCCCCTGGTTGAGCACGCACCTGCTCAGGAGGCAGCAGAAGAGCTGAAGGGGAGAATGGCGAAACCCACCCAGCTGGCAGACCAGCCGTCTTCATCCTGGTGGCCAATGCAGTGACAAAGATGCAGCCAGAGCGCCCCAAGCTCAACACATGCTTATGTAGAGTACATTTAGATGGGGGCTTTTTAAGCCACTAATGTTTGGTCTCAAATGGAACTGAAAAGCAGCAAATTATTAGCATAGACATATCATTTTAAAATGCACCTTTTGTGGGCCATTGAGATATGCCAGGACCATTGATGATAAAGGATAAAACCACTCCCCTCTACCCCACTTCACTGTTCATTCTGGGTTCAAGATGCCTAGAACTCTAAGAGATTTTTGTCCAATCCACTAAACGGAAAGACTATAACCCCTATTGAGAATCTCAGAGCTCTAACTGCATATGGGGTAAGATGAATTCAATGCCTTTGCATCGCTAGAGAAGACTCATTAAAATGGGAGTCTAAATGTGGTCTGGTGTGGGAGAGAGACAGCACTGCTACTTAGAAAGGGGGAGAGGTACCCAGATGATATTTATTCTTGGACAAGCAGCACGAAGTCATATGACCTTCACCTTCCTCCTCAGCTTTAACTCCCAGTTGGTGACTTCTGGAAGCATAATCAGTTTTGCTCTCTCTGATGTGGCTTCCATTCCTTGCCCCAAAACAACAGGTACTTACCAAAAATGCTCACAGCTTCTTAGTGTCTAAGAATTAACACCACAGAGAAGAACAGGGCTCTGCCCCAACATGCTGCTCTTCTTTTGTATGGAACTGATTACCAATGTCATCACATACTTCCATTGGTTCACACACTGTGATGGCAATATCCACTGACTCACTCATTCAGTGATATTTGTTGGAGCTTGAGCTATAGATGCCAGGCCCTGTTCTAGGCATCGGTATAGAGCAATGACAAGGCAGACTAGTTTCTTGCTCTCATGAGGCAGACATCCTACTGGGGAAAGAGGTCTCACACATGCACGCATGCACACACACACACACACACACAATATCAGAATGCCAGATACCTAATGTGAAGAAGGTCAAGGGTGACTGGGCAGCTGCTCTATATTGGGTGCTACAAAAGGCCTAAGAGTGACCTTTAAGGTGAGATCTGAGCCATAAGAAGAACCAGCCAGAGGAAGAACATCTATGCAGAGGAGATGGTGAAATCCCTATAGAGAAACAGGCCCAGCAGTGGCTCCCAATGCTGCAGTCCTGTGATCCCACATCCTACAATGCACACGACAGCTCCCGAGATGAAGAATTATCCAGCCACAAATGTTGATAGTGTCAAGGCTGAGGAACCTCGTGTTAGAAGAACAACAAGAAAGTAACTGTGACTGAAACCTAGCACACGTGGGACGAGGCATGAGAAATGAGGTCTGTGGGGGAGGGAATGGGGTGGGCGGGGCAAGATCCCCCAGGCCCTTGTAAACCAGCGCAAGGAGTTTGGTTTCATTCTTAGTATCATGGGAAGTCCCTTGAAGATTTGAATCAGAATAATGATGCGTTCTGACGTACATTTCATAAAGATCACAATACGAATCTATCTTCTGTGCTGCCTTCCTTCTTCTCACCTTTCCCCTGTCTTCTTGTCCTCCCCATTCCCATTTATGGGAATGGCCTTTGTGCCAAGCACTTTGCTGGGTCATGAATCCCCCTGTCATATATTTTGTGAAGGGGTGTGTGAACTTTATTCAAGCTGAGGATGTCACTGACAGGACATCATTTTCACTCTCTTTCCAAGAAGATCTGATGTTGTTCGCAGTCATTTGGGGTGCATTACTGTCTTCATAAACTCAATTGTAAACACTTTATTTCCTGGAAGCCATATCTTTCCCATCTGTTGTGTCACAGTCTTAGCCTTCTGCATTCTACGAAGAAAGATATGAAAACATCCACCAACCCGACTCTGAGTAACTATGAGATTTCAGGAGGCTTTCTTGGTTGTTGGTCTTTGATAAGCACAGCTTTGAGAGGATTAAATCTTAGCTGCTATTCTTCCTTCTTCTGAGCTTACTCATTGTCTTCATAGTCATAACTCCAATTATATCACACTCTGCAGTGCTCAAAGCATTTATGGGCTTTTCTCAGCAGGTCTTATGGTCCTGCTCCTGAAGAGTAGAAAGCAACGTCACTGAGTAGGTACAGAGCTAATAAATGAAGAGCTAGGATTTCAATCCAGGTATGAATTGAAGTACAGTATTCTTTCCACTCTGACTACCACACACCATCATTTTGAATAAGAGTCTCAGATGGAGGGAGCCCTGTTTGAATTGCTGACAGTCAGTAAAGAAGCTAGGGTAGCCTCACATGAACGGCAATGCCTGGATTCACCGCAGTGAAGGAGGGGAGGTGATGGATATCTCTCTTTCACTCTCTTTTTAAAACAAACATATAGGAACAAGCTTGGACTGTTCTCTCTCTGTCATACCTCATTTCATCCCTCCTATATGCACAGATATTCATAAGCCCAGAAGGGGATTAAGAAGTTGGTAGGAGTATTTAAAGGAGAAGATCCTAGACTAGGATCAAGGCCAGGAAAAGAAACAGAGCTCATACTGGGGCTGGGGCCAGGACTGAGGTCCAGGCTGAGACCATGCCTGGAGATGGATGGTGTAAGAGGAAGGAAAAGGAATGCGAGGGTGACAACACCGTGGGCAGCACTGACGGACGAAGGTTTGTGTGTGCGTGCCAGGGGGATTCTCAGCTGAACCCTGGCCAGCTAAAACTCACTTGAATCTGACACACAGGGTCTGCTAATACTCAAGTAAAATTAAAGACCGAAGTTAATCAGGCAACATACCTACCTCCCATTTAGTTTGTTCTTACCTCTTTATTACTGGGTTTCCTTTATGTAGACTATTTTCATGCATTTTGCATAAATAGCTGAAGCTAAATTATCTTTTAGTAATTTAAAAAAATGAACAAAAATATCTGTTTATAAAGAACTGACCGAAAGGATTTCTTGTGCATGTTTAAATTCTGTAAACGTAATGAAAATGTCAAATCTTTTTACAAGAAGCTTGAAAGATAAAATGAGAAACAATACTGAAGAAATATCTGGGAGGCCCGAGGTCCACTCAGCCCCACAGGGCTCCTTAGAAGTAACCACTTTGTCTACAACTGGAGGCAGCACATGCTCCCATGGGCTACTACCACTTTCAGCACCCAAGATACACTGCCTCCTGGAGCCAGTAAGAATTCTGTCTTATTTGGTACTGATCAGTTTAGCTAAAAAAAAAGAATTCTATCTTGAACACTCATCTATACTCACTTCCAAATTTGGGAACATTTGTAAGTGGAACTCAAAGCAGTAGATCTGGCTTTTAAATAAAAAGTTACATTTAAATCAATCTCTGCTCTTCATAAGCTAAATACCATTTGTCATTTTTCAGCCATCATTTGAGTTTCACCCACGCACCAGCCACAAATTCTGGGCCATGGTGAGGCTGTGGTCAGCCTGGTGTCCGGTCAGCTCGCTAAAGATAACCAGCTAACTTACTGGCTCAGGGCTAAAACAAAAAGAACACAACAGAGGAGCCAAAAATATATATTTTTAAAAATTAATGTTAAAAGATGGTGTAAAAAGGCTCATACTTTGAAATAAACTGAAATGTTCCCTGCAAGAGTAACTATGTCAGGATAAAAACAAACACATCTTTTTCTTTTATAGAAACTCTTTTTCACTAGTTGCAATACTTTGAAGGGATCTTTGACTTCTCAATGGAAAGAAGCAATGTGAAATGGAAGCTGGGTAGGGAGCTCAGCCACGTGGCTCAGGAAAGACAGCTGTTTACTCCTTTCAAACCAGGAGAGAGGAAGTTTCTTCATCACTTCAGAAAGGATACTGATTTCATTATCTCTCTGTTTTAGAATATCTCGTAGCTTTCTATATTCTTCCTCTTTTAATGGTTCTTGACAGTCTTGGTCTTTGCTTTCAGAGGAGACTGTATTGGAGACTGTATTGTTTCCAAAGATCTTCTTGTCATTCAATAGTTTCTGCAAGATAAAATAAGAGCTTAGTATCCATATCTCTAGTCCGAATTTCTTTTGTTTCTTTGACTCTTTTTCCTTTAACAATTCCCTGCACACATCAGGCATGTGTGACCTGCACGACGCAGGCGTGTTGTCTTTGCGATGCAGCTGCTTTTTTGTCTTGGCATGTTTTCTCCCTTCTACCTGCCTTCTTTCCCTCTTCCTTCCTCATCCCCCTCTCCCCTATCTTATCTCTTCTTCCCTAAATTGGGAAATGCCTGCTCAACATTATCTCCTCTTGGACTCCTTTCCCTTTCTCTATACATCATTCCACTTAATTCACACTTTTATTCTAGTACTTATCATGCATTGTGATTATTCTTTACAACATCTGTCATCTCCATGACTTGCTTATTAAACTTTGCCTTATCTATACCTGGCCCTTAGTAACTCACAGCAAATGTTTATTATCTTAATGAAGTATGAAAAATACAAGCAAGCTAAAAGTAAAAGTGATTATGTTCCCAGCTCCTCATCACGAAAATTAAAACCTAAGGCAGAGAAGAACTGAAATATCATGGGTATATCAAATTGCTGAAAAAATGCAGAATGCAATTCTCTTGATATAGCTTGAAAAGATTTTTTTTTTTTAAAAATATGGAACTTACTCTGTGTAGAAGGTAGATATTCCTGGCAAAAGAATTAGAAGTCCATGTCCTGAGTTTATTTATTGGCAAGTAAGATACCATCTCTGAAGAAACTCAGTGATAGCCATACTATTGGTTCAAAGGTTATACCATTTTCTGGACATGCAATGCTGGATCCTAACCTTCCAAGAACTGGTCAACTAGAAAAGCTTTTGTGCAGCTTGAACATGGCTGAAAATGGCTTCTATTGGGGAAACATTGAAGTTTACCTTTAAATGATGAAAACAGTGATGAACTTTACGCATATCCGCACCAACCTCTAATCTACTCTCTGGATCCTGGTCTTCCAAAAAGGATGTTATTAGTTTTTCCAGCCTAAAAATACATAATGTATGAGAAGCAACTGTGAGCTAGAAGTTTTAGAAATTCTAATGGCAGTATCTAGTTGGTTAACATTTAAAGTACAGGATATTGTTCCCACCTCTTTACAGAAGTACAGATTTGACTATACAAATTAAGGGAAAAGAAACATTGACAAAGTGAAATTTGTAGTGAAGCAATTATTTGACTAATTTCCAGTGAATTTTCTCATAAAGCTTTCAATACAGAAATCATTTGACTTCTACAGCCCATCCATTCTAGCCACTCTGAATTTCTGTGCCCCTGTGCCTGGCTGCTGCATTGCTAGAAAAAGTAATGAGAATGTGTTTTAAATTAATTTCACTAAAAACTCATGCAACTCAGCCTCAGCTGGTACCTCAGTGATGCCCCACTATCTTTTTAATCATTCCAGGTGATCTTCTGTTCTTCACAGTGCCTATTCCAAATCTTTGTATAGTCCCCACGCCTACCACTACTCTCACTCTCTGTCAATAAAGTCACTTCTCACCAGATGGAGAAAGCCATACAGACTCCTTTGTTTCCTCGTCCTTCGCCTCGGAGTATCTCTGCCTCACTGCTCAGGCCCTCTTCCTGCTTTTACAGATTCTGGATGATATTCTTCCTCTTTCTCAAGACCATTCCCTCCCCTGGGCTCTCTTTCTGCTTCTTCCAGGGCTTATCTTGTTAATTACCTCTTTTCCCTTAATCATCTCTTCATCTCCTCTCTATACCAACTTTTTCCTCTCTGCTTACAATCATCTTGTTTTTCCTATCCTAAAACAAAACAAAATAGAAAACAAAACACCTCCCTTTGGAGAGGCCATCCAACCACTCTATTCTAAAGTCCTAGTTTGGCCAGGTACAGTGGCTCACACTTGTAGTCCCAGCACTTTGGGAGGCCTAGGTGGGCGGATTACTTGAGGTCAGGAGTTCAAGACCAGCCTGGTCAACAGGGTGAAACCCTGTATCTTCTAAAAACACAAAAACTAGCCAGGCAAAGTGGTGTGTGCTTGTAATCCCATCTACTTAGGAGGCTGAGGCAGGAGAATCACTTGAACCCTGGAGTCAGCGGTTGCAGTGAGCCGAGACTGTGCCATTGCACTCCAGCCTGGGCAAAAGAACAAGACCCTGATTAAAAAAAAAAAGTCCTAGTCTATTCATAGCACCGTGTGCCCATGTAGCATTCTAGTACTTTGTATCAGAGGGAAATTCTTGGCTCTTATTTATCTTTGTGCTTCCAGTCCCCCACATTAGGTTCTCAACACAAATATGTTCACGTTACTGAATTCACTGCCGTGGACATGGTTCCCCTCTATATTGAGATGGAACTCTTAATAAGGAAGGTGTAAGGATGACAATCAGTATCTATGATGTTTGGTATCATAATACAGCAGCAGCATATCTTTCTAGGACTATTATGAAAATATTTGCATACTTTCAGCATCTTTTAAAACTGTATATACACATTTCCCTTCTGCTGTTACTATCAGCCCACTCAGATAAAATGTAATGATTTGTATCATAGAACAGCCTTGGATTTCATTTTTACCTCTTGTAATCTGTGACATGTGACAGCTATATATTTACAAGCATGAGACAATTTATACTGTTACTTTTAAGGAGTTTCTTTAGGTGAAGAGATACTTGTCATTTGCACTATTTGCTGATTGACACTGTGTTTCCTTTTGGATTAGAGCCTCAAACCACCAGATATACAGAGAGATTTATACCTGATACATTTTTTAAAAAATCATGTAAAATATTATGAAAATACATATTTATAAACAAAATTCCAAACAATACAGATGTGAATAAATTAAAAAGTAAAAACTCCTCCCACTCCCCTGCCACCATTCCCCACAACTTTTTTTTTTTTAATTTTGATACCTTGGGAAATCCACTGTTAACAGTTGAAATATATTATTCTTATTCTTAATGAAGCAGATACCTATATCTATATATTCATTTATACTTTTTTTGTTTTTATAAAAATGAGATCACATTTTGAATAATGTTTTACAGCATTATATTTCTAAAGAATTTATGGCAGATGAGCTTCCCCATCAGTGCATATGCAGTAGGGGTATTTCATTTCTAATGGCTATGTAATATTCCATACTATGGATTCCTCTCTTGATGGACACTGAGGTGACATACTCATACAGTCGCTACGTTCCTCTGTAACCCATGATGAGGCCTTGATCTACAATTCTGACTTAATGAGGCTTAAAAAATAGTAATGTTTAGCTACTTGTATTTTCCCTGAATACATAGCAGAAATTTTGAAATTTCAAAATTCACTGTGGGTTCTAGAATATACACTCATTCTCTGGAGTGAAAGCACTTTGTAATTTCCAGTGTCCATAAAATTTCTAGCAGACAATATTAAGTTGGAAGTAATGGTTAATCAGTTCTTTCTTCTTGCTTTTTCTTTAGAAAACAACTTCCGTATAGTTTAATCACAAGTATACATTCTAGGAAACTTTCTCTGAAGGAAGGCTGAAGTGGACTCCTAGCTCAGAAGAAAACCTCATAAGATACAAGCCTGCTGATGAGCTGGACCACTCGTAGATTGCTCACGTGCACTGGGCTTTGGCTATTCCATCAAGATTCCTGTCCCACACAGCAACAGTGTAGGATACAAGGAGGATCAGGGACGTAATCCAAAGAAATAGGCAAGAACTTCTGCCTAAGTAAAAGGACGGATCCCCTTACTCTTTCTGGGACTCGATTAGTCTAGTACATAACTAAGAATGAAGATCAGCCTTTTGACATACTGTTTTGCTTTCAGCACTTGAGAACACAGAGATAAGAAACATGCCTGGTCTTTCCGTCATACGTTTGATTTACTGTTGGGTTTATTTTCTTATCAAGCAAGGACTTGGTCTAATAATTAAAATGCAGAAAAATGCTTAATTCAGATGTTTTTGTTGTACTCTTCTAGTAGTTGAGAGTGAACAAATGACCCAAAATTCCCCACATTTTCCTATCTACCAAAATAGTTTCCAAGTTTATACCTAGTCTCTGCTCCCTCTGAGGGGTCTCCCAGCTGCCAGAACTCTGCTGAACAGCGGAAAACTGTTTACAGAAAAGGCTCACTAAGGAGGTCAAGTGAGTACAATCAAGTCTTTTTTAGGACAAGCCCAAGTCAACAAGAACTTTCCTTATTCTCTACTTACACTAGAAGAAAGAAGAAAAAATAATCCTAAGGGAAAGAGAAAAGAAATGCACACCATTCAGTAACAAGAAATACTGTAATAATTTAAGTGTGTCTGGACATACAACCTCGCTGATGGAAGGTGATGGTTTGATGTTTGGTGACTATACAGATCTCAGCTGAACTGACTGCTAATGAAATACCTCTGACAGCCTGTGTCCTGGTTCAGCAACTCCATCATATTACAAATTTTGATACCTGGCTACATAATCAGAACTGACCACATTTCCTAACATGAGCTTTACCCTCTTGAGGCCACTGTACTCCCCTCTCAGCTCTTCATATTCCTTGCCAAAAAAAAAAAAAAAAAGCTCTCTCTGTAGCCATATTTCCATAAAAACTTAAGTTTAATAGTATGAATAAAAACACAAAGCAAGCTTCTCATCATTAATGACAGCCAACATTGAGCATGCACTAAATGCTGGACACTCTTCTGTGCTATTTGCATATATCATTTCCTTAATTTTTACAACAACACTATATGATAACTACTATTATTATCCCCATGTCATAGGTGAGGAAACTGAAGCACAGACATATTACATGGCTTGTCCAAGGTCACACAGCAAGCAAACAGGTAAAATCCAAGTTTTGAAGCACAATACTTACCATACAATAACAAAGTTACTCAATGTATTTGAATACCATATTGGGTGACGTATTTCTAAAAGGGAGAACCCACACCTGCAAGCATTCATTGAGGAGGCAAATAGGTGGACAAAGAAGCGGGAAATAACTGAAAAGCAGTTGCTTAGATCTTAGCACGGCCAAGGACCACCATGACTTGTAACAGCAAAACAAGTTGGGAAGGAATCAAAATGTGCCATATCTGAAGATTAGTTAATTAATTTTGGCATAGCTATGTACATAGTTAAGCAGCAATTTAAGTGATGGCGAAGTTGTGTACTTATTGACATTAAAAACACTCATACTATATATGGATAGCTTAATGATGAATCCCTCTGCAGGGATTCTGCAAGTACACTGTAACACATATAAGAAGACTGAAGAGACAAAAAGGAAGGAAAGGCAGGAGGGAAGGGAGAGAGGGAGGGAGGGAAGGGAGAGAGGGAGGGAGGCAAGGGAGCAGATCAGCAGTCCTGAAATTTTTGACCAGCTAGTTGTCTTTGGCTCTAGCCAACATCTAACATTCATCATCTCCTTGTGAGAAAAGAGACCAGCGACCCAAGCTAACCTCACTCTTCTTCAATATTTTTATGATTATGTTATGTTTAACTGTTTTTTAAAATAAGTTCATCATTTATACATTGAGTCATTGAGTGTGATTAAGATGTTCTCATGATTCTCAAATAATCTTTGTAAAAAAGAAATTATGAACATGTTCCTGTCAGCAGTAGGTTCTAGAAATGGGCTAGAAACCATATCTCTATGGCACTGGTTGTGGGAAAGTTGGGAGAAAAGAAGAACGGGATATAGAAACAAGAGCAAACCTAACCCAGGGCATGGAAACACTGGCTGTTTCCAAATAACTGGGACAGCAATGGGAGGTGTGCCCTGGGAGTGGGAGGGGAGCCTGGTGCTGTAACTGAGGCAAAGATAACAGAAGCATGCAGCAACACAGTGTTATTCTAGATAATTTACTATCAATGAGGCTCAGGGGATGAAAAGCAATGGGACTGCATCCTCTGATATAAAGCTGGAAATAGTGAGGGGGAAGAAAAATACCCCAGTTGGTGGGGCAGGGCTTCCCTGTGGTAGAACCATGGAAATTGGTATTTCAGAGCTGATGGTTCTTAGCTCAACTGTCTCCTCACTG